AGAAACAAGTCTAGTAACAAACTACCCTCCTATAGAGTATGTCCCATCTCTGCTCCCTACACTCCAGGTGCCTACATTAGAGACCTACACTACTCCTACACTAAAGATCTCCTCCAACTTCCTGGCACATCCCAGCCAACCATTTTGTCCTTCTGCATTCCCTTCCCCATCCCAGATCCCTTTGCACACTCTCTCGACCTCTGGGGAAAACCACGCATACCTTGCAAAGATGCACCACCATAACAAACAAGGGGAAAGCTACTTGGCCGAACTATTTTTCTGGGTGTGTGGAAAGCAAATTTTTTTGGACTATAAGTCCCAGGATCCCTTAGCCATCACAGCCACTAGCCCTGCAGGCTGAGGGAGTGTGGGAGCTGTAGTTTCCTAAGCTCTGCTACCAAGCAACTCAGCCATCAGGTGCCTGGCGGTTCCTCCAATGCCAAAGAAGAGTGCCCACACTCAGCTCTTTACAGCAGAGCTTTTCAAGGGTTAGTGAGCAGATAGGATCATTTGGGGGGTGACTGATCTGTTCTCAACAGCAAACAAGTTAAGAGGAAATGTATGGATTTTTCTCACCACTTGCATTCAAAGCAAACCCAGCTGCATGCATGCGACAAAAGGACAAGGAAAGGATGAAGCACGCAGCAAGTGGAACAAGAATGGAAAAAAAAATTTCTTGCCACAATGACTCATGTGCCAAAGAAAGCACCAGTCCTGCCCTCTTAGAAACCTCTGCAAATATCCATGCCCTTGTCCAACGCCTTCCACTGGGTTGCAGGCAGCGGCGTGAAAATCAACCACAAAGACCAACCATCCCACACCTGCCTTCGCTGCCCAAACAATGCCAGCCATTCTTTGTGACCTGGCAGGGCACCGCTCGCTCGGTTCAAGAACCTGCTTTTTCTACAGACTCGCTTTTCGACCTTGAGCAAAGCATCACCAGGACTGTAGGTGGCACTCTTAGCATGGTCTGTGGTCGCTCCTGTTTGCCCACCACCAGCTTTCTTCTGTTGGAAGTGGGGAAGAAAAGGCTCATTATTATAAGGGGTCCACAAGTGAGTACGTGCCACGAGGAAAAATCAAAATCAAAATCAAACCATGCATCTCACTCAGGAGACTTGGAGGCTATACAGACATGAAGTTTAAAGATTTTCTTAGGCTATCAGTTAGATGTCAGGGTCTGGCAATGATTTTCTTTTCCCATGTGCCAGTGGCCAGCATACTATTTATGTCCATTGGGTACAACTATTTTTTTCTTTCCCAATGCCTGGCAGCCAATGCCTCAGAGACTGGCACTGGTCTAAGGGCCACCACTTTTTAGTAGCACTGCAAGCCAGCCTGGCATAGTGGTTTGATTGCTGGACTACAGCTCTAGAGACCAGGGTTCGATTCCCAGCTCAGCCATGGAACCGAAAGGGTGACCTTGGGCAAGTCACACTCTCTCAGCCTCAAAGAAAAGCAAGAGCAAAGCTCCTCTAAAGAAATACTGCCAAGAAAACACCATGATAGGATTGCCTTAAGTCGGAAATGACTTGAAGGCACAAAATAAAACAAAAAAACATTGCAAAGTTCACCAGCTGACTCCCCAAAAGCTGTCAATGTGTTGTCTTCCCCTTAGCCAAAAAACTCTCTCTAAACAGTATTTTCTCACATCCACCGGAGAATATTCTGCCTGTCTGCCTGTCTGTCTCCCTCTCTCACATACACACAAAAAACCCACATATACACACACGGCACAGGTTCAATTATACATGCTTGAATATCTACATTAAGAATTTGTTGCAGGTCAATTCCGAGCGAAATCAGATTTAGCCTGCAGTTGACCTGTGATATTTAGACGCTGAAACACAGCAGATAATTGAAGTCAGAGATACCAGAAGGTAAATATAGGTGTGTGCGTGGGTAAGATGGTGGGTGTGCTTTAAATCGAACCCAACTCAAATAGGTAAATGCCTCTGGGTGGAATGGAACACAAAGCAACAAATTCAGCACAAAGACAGGAGATACTGAGAAAATATCATACCGAGCAATTATCTGAAAAATGCAAGGGTCCATATCTACACTCTCTACCCCCTTTTGCCCATTCCATTTGACACAAAAGCTGATATACAGCTGGCCCTCCGTTTTTGCAGGGAATCCATTCCTGACATACACACACCACGAAAACGGAGACTCGCCAATATTCAAGCCCCATAGGCTTGAATGGGGCACCTGCCCGTGGGTGCACGCCCCACTGATTTGAATGGAGGTTGCCCTCTGTGAATATGCAAAACCACAGACTTCCAAGTCCACGAGAACGGAGGGATGACTGTATAAGATTTGGTGGGAACAGGGATGTCTTGCTGGCTGCTCCCAGATTTTGGAACTCCTTTCCTAGAAAGAATAGGATGGTTCCTTCCTTGCTGCCCCCTTTGACTGCTAGGACTTTTAATATTTTGCTGTTTCTCTGGTTTGTAATACATATATACACACACACACGACTTTTTTTATTAAGCAATACACAAATTGACAAAATGAATGATTCAAACAAATCAACAATAACGTATCATAACATATTTGTTTTAAATGGTTTTTAAATTCTTTGTTTAATTTAGCTGGATTTTAATAACAACTTTTTATATGTTTACACTGATGACGACAAGTGTCCAAATCCTCCCACCAAAATGGGAGCTGAACTCAAAACCAGTAACTTTTCCAAGCAATGCTCCGTACTCAAGTGAAAGCCCAGGCCTCATTTGCTCAGAACCACCCAACGTTAAGTCTTGTTACACGACCAATTTCGGGCTTAAGTAAAAACAACAAGAAGCAGCCAAGGGAAGCGGATCCTTCTCCACCCTGCCCTGACCTGCCCTTTCTGCCAACATGTGGAAAAAGCTGGCAGAGCCAAGGAGACGGGCGCCTCATCCGTGGCAAACGACCAAAGCCCATTACACTGAGTGCCGAAGCATTGCCCGTTGTTCGTCAATTATTCAGGCAATAATTGCACCCTTATTTAAAGTCTAGCCTCGTGTCCGCTGCGTATCAAGCTGCCAAGCGCCACAATGATAGGCGTACAACCACAGACTGGCCCTCCAGCATTTGCACACTCCTTTCTCACTCACTTGCTCACACACAAGCGCACACACATATACACCTGGTTGGTTGATTAATTAAGCAAACACGTTGAGAGCAGCATGTTCTCAGGTGTGAAGCTGGAGAGGCTGAGATTAATCCTCTCCCCGCTTCCCTTAGCTCAGTGTCATTTAATCCCAACCTGATCTTTAGAGGCTAAGAGGTGAGCAAAATGGAAACCAAGTACGCCTTACAAGTAGGCAGAAAAGAGGAGGAAGGAGGGGACGTTCAAGCTCTCCCTATACTCCTGCTTCCCTGCCTCTCAAACCTGGTAGGACGTAGTTTTGGAGGAGATACATTGGTGTTGCATGCCTTCAAGTCATTTCTGACTTACGGCGACCCTAAGGCAACGCTATCATGGGGTTCTCTTGGAAAGATTTGTTCAGAGGTGGTTTGCCATTGCCTTCCCCAGAGGCTGAGAGTATGTGACTCACCCAAGGAGCCCTGGTGGCGCAGTGGTTAAATGCCAGTACTGCAGCCACATGATTTTTTTATTTATTTATTATTTTTATTTATTTTTCCAAAACACAATACATATTATAATTGTATAGCAGTGATATTATTGTTACACCATCAGTATACTATATTTATGTCCAAAATAATAAAGTTTGTTTATTACTGTTAATTATCCTTTTCCAAATTTAATTTAGTCTGTACTTTTTCCCATTTTTTTCCGTATTGTTGAAATGATTTTCCAGCTGTAAACATTGATAGTTCATCCATTGTTACTAATTCGTATAATTTAATTTGCCATTCTATTACCGTAGGTGTTTTTTCAGATTTCCAGTATTTTGCTAGAGTAAGTAGTGCCGCTGTTACCATGTAAAGTATTACACTCTTTTCATCTTGACTTAGTCTACATTCTATCCCATCAATTACGTTTAGTAAGAGCAGTTCTGGTTTAAGAGGAATATTTTTCTGAATTATCTCGCACATCCTGCAGCCACATGGTTGTGAGCTCAATCCCAGGGCTCCAAGTTGACTCAGCCTTCCATCCTTTCGTAGGTCGGTAAAATGAGGACTCAATTTGGTGGAAGCAATTGGCTTACAGATTGTAAACCGCTTAGAGAATGTTGAGTTCATTGATAAGTGGTATAAACATGTAAATGCTATTGCTATTGCAGGGAGTTTCACTGCTGAGTGAGAAGTTGAACCCTGGTCTCTAGAGTCCAACAATCTAGAGTCCAACACTCAAACCTTTGCACCACACTGGTTTTCAATATACTGAGACCCTCAACCATTTAGACCATGATTATGAGCCAGCACGGCATAGTGGTTTGAGTGTTGGACTACGGCTTTGGAGAAAGGGGTTTGATTCCTTGCTTGGCCATGAAACCTACTGGGTGATCTTGGGTGAGGACACACTCTCAGCCTCAAGGGAAGGCAATGGCAAACCTCCTTTGAACAGTTCTTGCCGAGAAATCTCAGGATAGATTCACCATAGAGTCACCATAAGTCAGAAACAACTTGAAGCCACACAAAACAACAACTACGGCACTATACTCTTGCTGGGCCCCTTTTGCCCAAGAACTTCAGGAGGGAACACAAAGGAAGAAACATCCTTTTTTACTCCATCTGCCCTTTTTGCAATGCGGGTTGATAGTAGTGCTCGACACACAAGACTTTCCAGCTTATCAGAAGCAAGAATAACAGCCGATAGAGCAGAAAGGTTAGGTTTACATAAATAACTCCTAGCCTTGAGGTATCATAAAACTCCTTTTTTTAGCTTGTTGAGCACAAATGGGCAAAGTACAGCCTGCATGTCCCATGTGGCCCTTAAGGGTCCCAAAGCGTGGCCTTTGAAGCCCCCTTGAAGCCCCTCAAAGTTGCCAGACCCCCTTTTAAAAAATGTGCATGTGACTTGCCCAAAGTCACCCAGTGGGTTTACATGGCCAAGCTGGGAATCGAACCCAGGTCTCAAGAGTTGGAATCCAACACCCAAACCACTATGCCACACTAGCTCTCCAACTGTCTATGTATCCGCACCAAATGAACCTAAACTCACCAACACATCATGTATGAAAACTTTCCTGGGTTAAATTTCCAGCTCTCAAAGATTACATCTCACACATCTTTCTTCATACTTGCTGTTGTTTGAGCAGGGTCATTTGGGACCACTAATTATTACAGAGTTGTATTCAAGCTTGAGCATGGTTCCACTTGGAAGGAGATCTATATGCCTTGGAGCACCTTGAAGAGCGTGAAGAGTCTCTCATCCTCCTTGGCTTTTGAGAATTTCCTGAACCACAGATAAGTGTCACAGATAATGGAGTCCTTAGTCATGATCACACAAAAATAATAGCTGGCGTACAAGATATAAAATGTACAAGATATAAGTGGTGGCATCTGGGATTATCAGAGCCAGTGTGGTGTAGTGCTTTGTATGTTGGACTAGGACTCTGGAGACCAGGGTTCAAATCTCTGCTCGGCCCTGGAAATGCACCGGATGGCCTTGGGCAAGAGGATGGCAATGGCAAACCTTTTCCAAATAAATCTTGCCAAGAAAACCCCAAGATAAAGTCATTTTAGGGTTTCCATAATTTGGACATGACTTGAAGGAACACAATAGCTATCTGTGAATAATCCAGGGACCTTTTCATACACAATGTACCAGTAAATCTAGGTCTATAAGGAAATGATATAAGGTTGAGAACAAGACCCCCTGATACGGGTTGAGTCTTCCTTATCCAAAATGCTTGGAACTAAAAGTGTTTTGGATTTTGGGAGGGTTTCAGATTTTGGAATATTTTCATATACATAATGTGATATCTTGGAGATGGGACCCAAGTCTAAACATGAAATTCACTTACATTTCGTATACACCTTATACACATAGGCTGAAGGTCATTTTATACAATATTTTTAATAATTTTGTGCATGAAACAAAGTTTGCATACACTAAACTACCAGAAAGCAAAGGTGTCACTATCTCAGCCATCCATGCGGACAATTCTGGAATATTTCGGATTTTGGAATTTGGGATAAAGAATACTGAATCTGTATTAGCAAGGCTCATTTCTCCACATATAGGCTATATTTGGCTACCAAACCTTCAAAGAATCATTTGCATGTAAACTTGTTTTGCTACCCTTTATTCAACTTAATCCCTATGCTGCTCATACCAAATGCTCACTTCTCTTCAAAAGGCAGAGATTTATATGCCTATATCCTTGAATTATTTGCTCAGGTGACTAGACAGGCTGCTTCTGCCCACTGACTCCTCCTTTCTTCACATGCAACAAAAGCCAATGAATCGAAGAGGGGAAAACCAGTTAAAAAGCTGCCTAGCTTTATTTCAACCTGCCTTAGTACTGCCATCTATCAGCACATGTCAATTACCTGGGTGATCATTCCAATTACAAAGGACTGCCAGCATCAATCTAAAATGCCCTCCCTGTCTCTTTTCCCAGGACAAACAAGCAGTCCTTCTGTGAGTTGGTTTCGGTGTTATCCTGCCTTCATCTTTGGCTACCTCCAAGGGAATGGAAGGGTCCTTCACTGTCTGAGACTGAGACGGCAGGCTTATGCCCATGACCTCTCAGATGGAGTCCATCCATCTGGTGTGTGGTCTTCCTCTCTTTCTAATGCCTTCCAACTTCCCTGGCATCATCCCCTTTTCTAGTGAGTTGTGCCTTCTCATGATGAAGCCCAAGTACAACAGCTTTAGTTTTGTCATCTTGGCTTCCAGGGAGAGTTCAGGTTTAATCAGTTCACGGACCCATGATCTGTCATTTTAGCCATCCACAGTATCCTCAGCACTCTTCTCCAGCACCGTATCTCAAATGAGTTGGTTTTCTTTCTGTCGGATTTCTTCACTGTCTGGATTTCACATCCATACATGATGATGGGGAATATAATGTATTGGACAAGTCTAACTCTTGTGCTCAGTTGTCTTTCTTTACACTTGAGGCTCTTACCTAGCTCTTTCATGGCTGCCCTCCCCATTCCTAGTTGTCTTCTGATTTCTAGACTGCAGTCTTTGTTTTGATCAACGTTTGACCCAAGGTACGGGAACTTTTTAACCATTTCAATTTCCTCATTGTCTAGGTTGAATTTATGTGTATCCTACATGGTCAAACAAGTCAAACAAGGTTCCCCCAAGCAAGAAACCCTTTAAATGTGTTGGTTTATGCCCCACATCACCCCCATCCAGCATCAGGTGGTGGAGAATCAGTCTGGCCACCATGGTATGCATGCAGCAGTTTCCTTTGTTAAGGGTTTGATGGGAGATGCCATTACTGTGAATCTGTTGGGCCTCTCTTCTCTAGGAGAAGATCTGGTAAAGATCTGCTGGTTAGCACCATCAGGGCAGGGTGCTCCAGCGCAAGAGTTCAAAGCTGATTAAAGATTAAGCAAGACCCAGTGTTTATGTCTCTGTCTGTGTCCCTCTCTCTGTTTCTCTGACACACACAGACAAACAGAGCACCAGACAAATTTCCCCTTCCTCACATCTTGCTGAGAATAAGGGCAGGAGAGGGAGGAGGGATGGAGAGGACAGGGGCACAAAGGCAAAGAGCTGATCCCGGAGCATTCATTCATTCGAACATCCGTTCCAGCCTAAGAAGGGAGGAGGGCCGAGGGAGTGACAGTCACCAAGAGGTCAATTAATTCATCAGGGAAATGCAATTCCAAGCCCAAATATATTGTCGGCAGGCCACATTAGCACTGGCACCAGGGACACGGGGTTGCACCCCTCCCGAATATGCAGCTAAATCAAAGACATCTGGAGAGCCGGCTGAAGGGCTGAGATTATTAATGCTGAAATTTAGAAGCCAAGGTCTGAGCTGCGGATCCATCAGCGCCACTAGTTACATCCAATAAATTAGGAGAGATAAGGATTGAAGGATGGAGCATTAAAAAGGCACCATTCACTGCTGAACTGCAGCAAGTCGACTTCAGGGGCTGGCTCTGGCTCTTGCTGCTCCTTGGGGAAAATTAACTCTATCTTGCTTATGGGGAAGGCCCAATGAACAGGCGTTGCAGGACTCAAAGGGCCCAGGCAGGGGACACTGCAATGGCGAAACACGTGGGGCCTTACATGTTGGAGATATCTACAATGACTCCAAGTAG